ACGTGTTATTTTCGAGCTGTTTAAGTTACCGAAGGGAGAAGGAACTTGCTATTTGGTTCATATTTCTTCCAATCGATCACAATTTTTATTTTAAAATCCGACTTATGTAGGATCCAATTATTCATAAAATAGCAATAACAATATAATAAATTCCACGTTTACCAGATTTCTCCGACACGTTACCGCAATTTGACGATTTTAACAAAGTGCAGAGCCAGGGCGAGAATTGTGTCCGCCGATTTCATAGCTCCTCTTTCTCTCTCCGATGGCAAAGATTCCAGATTTCCGTCGGCGTTCCTTCCGAAGCGCGGCTAATGCTTTTCCTATGGGACACGGTCGGCGAAATTTCGCGGACGCTTGAGACAACCGAACAAAGTCTGGTCCCGGGGAATGTTTGGGCTTTAAGCCGAGGAAAAACCTACGGAACAATAAACTCTCCCCGCCGTTCCTGCTTCTCCCGAAAAGCTTACGGTTTGACTTTCGCGCTCGCCGGGTGCATAAAGCTCCATGGTAGACTGAGTGTTTTACTCTGTTATCCTCTTACCTCTCGCACAGCTGTTTCCGCGCCGATGGTTATTGCGAGGCGTCATTTTATCCGTTATACTTCGCCGTGTATTTTTCAAACGCGCGCTGCACCGCGCCAAATAAATTACAGCTCTCCCGCGAATGAAAATCCAGCCGCGGAAATGCAACGCACGCACCGGTTTTTTTTTACACGTTCCACGGGTCCGGGACGGTTAATCGGTGCCAGGTATTTCATAAACTTCGGGCAGCAAGCGGCGGTCGTTCGGCAGAGGCCGGGAACCCGAGCGAGATTCGAAACGCGCGTAAAACTCGTCGATTGCTGCGAGCAGTTTAAGGAGGATGCTCGATAAGTTGTTCGTAGCGCAAAAGCGACCGCGATACCGGCAACGATACTTCCGCGAACGAGACGGTAAATGGCTGGTAATCCCGGGATTTAGGGCGGCGCTCCCTTTCGCTGGGTCCGTTCACGGTTTTTACCGCGAACTTCCGCGAGACGCGTTTCTAACGGAAATGTTCCCGGGGTCGGAATTGAAAACGACAGATTCGATGAGTCGCGATTCTTCCGGCCTCGCGACTTCGTGGAAACTCGGGCAACCTTTACTTTTTTATTTCCAATTTTTTAATATTGTTTTAATTAAGAGTAATATATATATTAATAGTAATATAATACTAATATATTAATAACATAATATATTGTAATTGCAATTGTAATTGTAATTGTATTACATTATATTATATTATATTATATTATATTATATTATATTATATTATATTATATTATATTAATATATTCATTAATAAATATTACTTTACAACTATTTACAGTGCTGTGGATGACCTCGTTTCGCTGAGACACCCTGTATATTTGGAAAAAGAAACATAACAAAACATGTCCATATTCTTCAATAGAAAATTCATTAAATTTTTATTTAGCTATCGATAACAACGTACAAGTTATCCTATAATTATGCATACCACCGCATCTCGATAATTGCAAAAACTTTGCCCCGATACGGGTGAATTTTTATCTAGAATTATTTCAACTGAATTCTCGAATTGCATCGAGTCCAACGAAGGATCGCCTCTAGAAGGGGAGTTGAAACTATGACTAAAAAAAATTGACACTTCGATAATCCTACGCATCCTCGCATGATCGCGCGAAAAATTCCGAGACCCGTTCGCCGAGAGTTTCTCTCGTCGACGAGATTTGATCTCCGAGGCGGGGAGTACGGGGGCATCGCGATATACGTTTTTAATTTTTAACGAAAAGTTCGTGCCCTTTTACGACGAAAGTTATGTGGACGACAATCGAGTCGTGGAGCCGTTCGTTCGTTCCGGAGCGAACGGGAAATCCGGTCGAACGGTTGCTCTTTAACAAGTCCCGCAGCGCCGGTAAACTCCGAAAATCAAAATACGAGGAAACGTTCGACGGGCTATCGGTTTATGGACCAGGGATCGTCGATTGAATGTCCGCATTGTTATCAGGACAATAAAAAAGTTTGGACGCGTTTCCCTTCGGAACTGCCGTTCTCGAAACCGTGAGCACGGTGCTTCGGAGACTAGCAGTCCGCCGCGGGTATTCTTCGTGTCGTAGTCGGGACTCGGCCGACACGACGTCGACACGACCGAAGACGCCGTCTATTGGCTGGCTCGCGCAACGTCGGCCCTGCGGTTGATCGGTGATTCGCCGATCTTGGCTTGAATAAAGCTCAGGAGGAGGCGTGGCCCTCGACATCCTCCTGTCGCGTGCCGGTTAATTCCGAGCCCTGGTCGAAGCCATCAATTCCATTATTATCAATATAAATAGCTAACATTTCTTTTATTGGAATCACAAGAAATTTGTCGTTGAATTGAATAGAATTGAATCGAATTTAACTGAATTCAACTGAACTAAATTAAATCGAATTGAATTAAACTAAACTGAATACACACAATTCAATTCAATGCAAGTCAATTCAATTCAATTCAATTCAATTCAAATCATCTAAATTGAATTGAACTGAATTTAACTAAATTGAATTAAATTAAATTAAATTAAACTAAATTAAATTCAACTAAATTGAACTAAATTAAATTCAACTAAATTGAACAAAATTAAATTAAGCTAGATTGAAGTAAATTAAATTCGACTAAGTTGAACGAAATTAAATTAAGCTAAATTGAACTAAACTAGATTATATTAAACTAAACTAAATTAAATGAAACTAAATTGAACTAAATGAAATGAAATGAAATGAAATGAAGTTTGATTAAAAATGGGTTAGCCTGTTTCGGGGATCGGTATGTCGATTAAAGATCGATTAAAGAGCGAACACCTTCCGATCGAATTTCCACGGGTTCCATCGAATTTCATCGAACGGGAACGGGTTAATGGCGGGTCGGTGGGCGTGCGGGTCTCCCGAAGTGAAAGTCGACAGCTCCCGTGAGCTTCGTAATTAACGAGGACGCGGCGGGCGAGGCGGCTAATAAAAAACTAGCCGGTAGGTATGCCGGGTACGCGAGAATGACATATCCGTTAGCTGTTCTCTCTTTTGCATCCGTGCCCGTGAGAGCCACTTCCTTTCCGTCCGTGTCTTCGCACCGCGTGCACGCTTTCACGTCGGACTCTCGAGTGGGTGCTTCACCGTTTAAAGGGGAGATACCGGGAGGAGCGCCGCGGGTAGAGTACCGTCTCTCGGTCACCTGGCGAAATGGAACCGGCCACGAGAGAGACAAAGAGCGAGGGTGAAAAGAGAGAGAGAGAGCGGAAGTAGGAGAGACAGAGAGGACACGCATGGAAATAGACGGGTGCCCGGCCCGGCTGCATTTGCATCTTGAAATCCGTTGTGATCCCGCTGGCGAGGGCTCGCGTTGACACGGTGTAGACTGAGTTTACCCGAGATAAGTAGACAAATACCGGGCTGTATCCGTCTTCGCGTAGTCTACGTGCGTCCCACCGGAAGATCGGGACTACCGGCGTGTCCCTATCGATTCCGATGTTTCGGAACACGCCGCGTAATACCGTCCCGACGAATTAGTACGCCGACGCTCGCCCCGGATCCGCAAATACCTTAGACGCTGATTAGAGAGACGCAGCTGTGCTCCGCCGTTAAACACCGGGTACGTACCGCCACTTCTTGAACCGACCCGACCGAAATCCATCCCCTCCGTGCAACCGTTCCGAAAATTATTTCTACCTGTGCGCGGTCCGGATGGAATTTCGAGCCATCCGTTTCTCCAATCTTTTGACCCTCGCGGAGGCCGGGTCAACGATGACCCGCGCCAAAATCGGACGCGAACAGATTCCGGGGCGCGATCTTTTCGCAAGCGTCGACCGATGCCGTTGACGATACCGTTGACGTTAAGTTTGACCGCGCGGCGGCCGGGTCAATGTTGACCCGTACCAAAATCTAGCGCAAACAGATTCCGGGATGCGGTTTTTTCGCAAGCGTCAACCGACCGGCGAAGCCGTTGATGTTAAATGTGACCGCGCGGCGGTCGGGTCAATGTCGACCCGTGCCGAAATCGAGCGCGAATAGATTCCGGGGCGCGATTTCTTCGCGAGGAACGAACAAAAACAACTTCGTTCGCAAGAAAAAGCCGGCGAAACCGACAACGTTAAATGTAACCTCGCGGCGGACGGGTCAATGTTGGCCCGTGCCGAAATCGAGCGCAAACAGATTCCGGGGCGCGGTTTTTTCGCAAGCGTCGACCGACCGGCGAAACCGTTGATGTTAAATGTGACCGCGCAGCGGCCGGGTCAATGTTGACCCGCGCCAAAAAAATACACAGACGCGCGCGCGCATGAAACAAATGACGGCCGACCGACGGAACCGTTAACGAGGATGAATAGATAATGCGGCCCGAATATAGTTTCAGGCCAAAGTTGCCTATTAGCCGGCAAACGAGGGCTAAATTCAATTCGCTTCGATTATCGGTCGCGCGTATCCGTTAACTCGATAAAGAACCGACGAATTTAAACACCATTCCCGTCCGAACAAATGTTGCGCCGGCCGGGGAATCAATTAAGCGGCGCAGTACTCTCGCATACCGTTCGTTTTGATTCGATTGTGCCGAGCACTTTTAATGCTGCCCGAAACCGCGACGCGCCCGTGTCTAATTCCGAGCGTTTTGCTGCACGCCACGTTCCCGACTATTTCGAACGATTCTGCTTCGCAACGGTTTTGCGACGCGAGATTTTGCATCGCTTCAAACGGTTCCGCTTCAACCACGACCAGTCTGCGACAGCAGATTTCATGTTGCTTCGAACGGTTCTGCTTCAACTTCGACTACGTCCGTTACATAAGAGTTTCGATCGCTTCGAACGGTTCTACTTTAAGTTCGACTGGTCCGCAACATGTTTCGGGCTGCTTTAAAAGCTTCTACTTCGACATCGATTACCTTGTAGCACAACATTTCGGGCTACGTCGAACTATTTTATCGGCCCAACGCCAGCTGTTCCGCGGCGCGGCGGAACGGACAACCCGAAAATCTCGTTAGGACTCCTTGGAACTCTTTGGGACTCTTTGGGACTCTTTGGGACTCTTTGGGACTCTTTGGGACTTCTTGGGACATGCTGAGACTTGGTGGGACGCCTCGTTGGGACTCGCTGAGACTTGGTGGGACTCCTCGTTGGGACTCGCTGAGATATGCTGATAGTGGCTGGGACTCTTTGGGGCTTCTTGGGACTCCTTGGGACACTTTGGGACACCTTGGAACTTCTTGGAACTTCTTGGAACTTCTTGGGACTCGCTGGAACTTCTCGTTGCGACTCGCTGAAACTCGCTTGGGACTCCTCGTTGGGACTCGCTGGGACACGCTAAGACTCGTTGGGACTCCTTTGGACTTCTTGGGACTCCTTAGGACTCATTGGAAATCCTTGGGACTCGCTGGGACTCGCTGCAACTTCTCGTTACGACTAGCTGGGACTCCTTGGGACTCTTTGGGACTCCTTGAGAGTTCTTCGGACTCCTTGGAACACCTTGAGACTTCTTGGGACTCCTTGAGACACGCTGGAACTCGCTGGGTCTCGGTCGGACTCACTGGGACTCGCTGGGACTTGCTGGGACACGCTGAGACTCGTTAGGACTCCTTTGGACTTCTTGGGACTTCTTGGGACCCCTTGGGATAACCTTGGGATTCCTTGGGACTCGCTAGGACTCCACGTTAGGACTCACTGAGACTCGCTGGGACTGGCTGGGACTTCTTGGGACTTCTTGTGACTCGCTGAGACTCTCTGGGTCCCACTGGGGCTCCTTTGGACTTCTTGGGACTCCTTGGGACTCCTTAGAACTCCTTGGGACTCGCTGGGACTTCTTCGGATTCACTGGGACTCACTGCAACTTCTCGTTGCGACTAGCTGGGACTCCTTGGGACTCTTTAGAACTCCTTGAGAGTTCTTGGGACTCCTTGGAACACCTAGAGACTTCTTGGGACTCCTTGGGACACGCTGAGCTCGCTGGGTCTCGCTGTGACTTACTGGGATTCGCTGGGACTCCTCGTTGGGACTTCTTGAGACTTCTTGGGACTACTTGGGATAACCTTGGGACTCCTTGGGACTCGCTGGGACTCCACGTTAGGACTCACTAAAACTCGCTGAGACTGGCTGGGACTCGCTGGGACTTCTTGGGACTTCTTGGGACTCGCTGGGACTCTCTGGGTCCCGCTGGGGCTCCTTGAGACTTCTTGGGACTTCTTGGGACTTCTAGCTCGAACTAAACCAGAAAATAATGATCATCGCTCTAAACACGTGCTTGATCTCGTTCCGAGAACTCGACATGTCCAGCACGACCGAGCGAATTTGTTTCCCAAACTTTTCCACCGTCGAAATGTCTCTTCATCTACTCCGCTACTAATCACAAACATCTACCAAACTTGCCTTTTTCAAGACATCCACGAAAATTTGTCGTTCTCGCCGCTCCTCTCGGACCACCACAGCGCGCCTTGTGGCGTCGCTAATGCGCGTTGTTCGCAGGCCCGCGGCTCCTCGTTTGAATATAGACACGACGCGTGTACGGCGCCGCGGCTTGACGAAATTTCCCAGCGGCCCGCGACACACGGTCCACCGTTTTAGGAGAATTTGAAATTCCGCTGACGACGCTGCGCCGTGTCCTCCTCTGTTCCACGTGCACGTATGTACACGTTTATGTGTCGGCGGCCGCACGTAGCCGTCGCGCGGCGGCTCGCTGGACGGCGAAAGAGAGAAGGAAAAAAGCGGCGGGCGAGACGGGCCAGCACAGCGGCGGGACGAGGGAGAGGAGAGGGGGAAGACACGTAGACGGGGCCGTATTTTTGTGCACAGAGGAGTTCGATGTCGGCCACCGGCTCGCGTTATTTTTCTCCGGCAGCCCCGGCTCTCGTATCTGCTCCATCAATGAGGGGTTGCCAGACTGTTACGGGCTTATGAAATACTGGACGGGGACGTGGCAGTTTTATAGAATTGCCGGAAAGCGGGAGGCGGGGGCGGGGCCGCCCTGAAATCTCAGCCCTTTTTCTCCGGGACGCCGCGCCGTGATTCCGGCGCTTGTAGCCCGATCCAACGGTTCCTCGGGATCCGCGCGATTCATCCCCGCCTATTTCCACGGTGCACGCTCGCGGATCCCGGCAACGGCGATCGCTTCTGCAGAGGAATATCTCCGTCCAGGCGCGACGCGGCGTGTCGGCATGTTGACGTTTTGAATTACGAACAGAGCCACGGCCGCGTCGAACTACTTTTATTCGCAGCCAGCTCTCGACCGGCCAGTTTTATTCTTCGACTATTAGTCCGTCGGATTATTTTGTTGTTGGATTTTTTAGGTGCTTGTTCTTGTTTTCCATTCCGCGATCGTCGGACCGTTCGACTGTTTTTATCTTTTTTTATCTTTAATTGTTAGTCCAGTGGATTGCTTTATTATTTGATCGTTCGGGCTGTGGATTGTTTTATTCTTGAGAACTGTTAGGATATTATTTTATTCTTTATTTTATTCTTTAATTTCTAGGCTGCTAGATTATTTGATTCTTTAATTATTCGACTGCTAGATTATTTTGTTCTTTAATTTCTAGACTGCCAGATTATTTGATTCTTTAATTGCTGGACTACTAGATTATTTCAATCTTTAATTTTTAGACTGCTAGATTATCTGATTCTTTAATTTCCGAACTACTAGATTATTATATACTACTAGATTATTTGATTCTTTAATTGCTGGAGTACTAGATTATTTTATCGTTTAACTTTTAGACTGCTAGATTATTTGATTCTTTAATTTTTAGACTGCTAGATTATTTGATTCTTTAATTGCTGGACTACTAGATTATTTTATTCTTTAATTGCTAGACTACTAGATTATTTTATTCTTTAATTGCTAGACTACTAGATTATTTTATTCTTTAATTGCTAGACTACTAGATTATTTTATTCTTTAATTGCTAGACTACTAGATTATTTTATTCTTTAATTGCTAGACTACTAGATTATTTTATTCTTTAATTGCTAGACTACTAGATTATTTTATTCTTTAATTGCTAGACTACTAGATTATTTTATTCTTTAATTGCTAGACTACTAGATTATTTTATTCTTTAATTGCTAGACTACTAGATTATTTTATTCTTTAATTGCTAGACTACTAGATTATTTTATTCTTTAATTGCTAGACTACTAGATTATTTTATTCTTTAATTGCTAGACTACTAGATTATTTTATTCTTTAATTGCTAGACTACTAGATTATTTTATTCTTTAATTGCTAGACTACTAGATTATTTTATTCTTTAATTGCTAGACTACTAGATTATTTTATTCTTTAATTGCTAGACTACTAGATTATTTTATTCTTTAATTGCTAGACTACTAGATTATTTTATTCTTTAATTGCTAGACTACTAGATTATTTTATTCTTTAATTGCTAGACTACTAGATTATTTTATTCTTTAATTGCTAGACTACTAGATTATTTTATTCTTTAATTGCTAGACTACTAGATTATTTTATTCTTTAATTGCTAGACTACTAGATTATTTTATTCTTTAATTGCTAGACTACTAGATTATTTTATTCTTTAATTGCTAGACTACTAGATTATTTTATTCTTTAATTGCTAGACTACTAGATTATTTTATTCTTTAATTGCTAGACTACTAGATTATTTTATTCTTTAATTGCTAGACTACTAGATTATTTTATTCTTTAATTGCTAGACTACTAGATTATTTTATTCTTTAATTGCTAGACTACTAGATTATTTTATTCTTTAATTGCTAGACTACTAGATTATTTTATTCTTTAATTGCTAGACTACTAGATTATTTTATTCTTTAATTGCTAGACTACTAGATTATTTTATTCTTTAATTGCTAGACTACTAGATTATTTTATTCTTTAATTGCTAGACTACTAGATTATTTTATTCTTTAATTGCTAGACTACTAGATTATTTTATTCTTTAATTGCTAGACTACTAGATTATTTTATTCTTTAATTGCTAGACTACTAGATTATTTTATTCTTTAATTGCTAGACTACTAGATTATTTTATTCTTTAATTGCTAGACTACTAGATTATTTTATTCTTTAATTGCTAGACTACTAGATTATTTTATTCTTTAATTGCTAGACTACTAGATTATTTTATTCTTTAATTGCTAGACTACTAGATTATTTTATTCTTTAATTGCTAGACTACTAGATTATTTTATTCTTTAATTGCTAGACTACTAGATTATTTTATTCTTTAATTGCTAGACTACTAGATTATTTTATTCTTTAATTGCTAGACTACTAGATTATTTTATTCTTTAATTGCTAGACTACTAGATTATTTTATTCTTTAATTGCTAGACTACTAGATTATTTTATTCTTTAATTGCTAGACTACTAGATTATTTTATTCTTTAATTGCTAGACTACTAGATTATTTTATTCTTTAATTGCTAGACTACTAGATTATTTTATTCTTTAATTGCTAGACTACTAGATTATTTTATTCTTTAATTGCTAGACTACTAGATTATTTTATTCTTTAATTGCTAGACTACTAGATTATTTTATTCTTTAATTGCTAGACTACTAGATTATTTTATTCTTTAATTGCTAGACTACTAGATTATTTTATTCTTTAATTGCTAGACTACTAGATTATTTTATTCTTTAATTGCTAGACTACTAGATTATTTTATTCTTTAATTGCTAGACTACTAGATTATTTTATTCTTTAATTGCTAGACTACTAGATTATTTTATTCTTTAATTGCTAGACTACTAGATTATTTTATTCTTTAATTGCTAGACTACTAGATTATTTTATTCTTTAATTGCTAGACTACTAGATTATTTTATTCTTTAATTGCTAGACTACTAGATTATTTTATTCTTTAATTGCTAGACTACTAGATTATTTTATTCTTTAATTGCTAGACTACTAGATTATTTTATTCTTTAATTGCTAGACTACTAGATTATTTTATTCTTTAATTGCTAGACTACTAGATTATTTTATTCTTTAATTGCTAGACTACTAGATTATTTTATTCTTTAATTGCTAGACTACTAGATTATTTTATTCTTTAATTGCTAGACTACTAGATTATTTTATTCTTTAATTGCTAGACTACTAGATTATTTTATTCTTTAATTGCTAGACTACTAGATTATTTTATTCTTTAATTGCTAGACTACTAGATTATTTTATTCTTTAATTGCTAGACTACTAGATTATTTTATTCTTTAATTGCTAGACTACTAGATTATTTTATTCTTTAATTGCTAGACTACTAGATTATTTTATTCTTTAATTGCTAGACTACTAGATTATTTTATTCTTTAATTGCTAGACTACTAGATTATTTTATTCTTTAATTGCTAGACTACTAGATTATTTTATTCTTTAATTGCTAGACTACTAGATTATTTTATTCTTTAATTGCTAGACTACTAGATTATTTTATTCTTTAATTGCTAGACTACTAGATTATTTTATTCTTTAATTGCTAGACTACTAGATTATTTTATTCTTTAATTGCTAGACTACTAGATTATTTTATTCTTTAATTGCTAGACTACTAGATTATTTTATTCTTTAATTGCTAGACTACTAGATTATTTTATTCTTTAATTGCTAGACTACTAGATTATTTTATTCTTTAATTGCTAGACTACTAGATTATTTTATTCTTTAATTGCTAGACTACTAGATTATTTTATTCTTTAATTGCTAGACTACTAGATTATTTTATTCTTTAATTTCTAAACTACTAGATTATTTTATTCTTTAATTTCTGGACTACTAGATTATTTGATTCTTTATTTGCCGGACTACTAAATTATTATATTCTTTAATTTTTAGACTGCTATATTATGTGATTCTTTAATTGCTGAACTACTAGATTATTTGATTCTTTAATATATTGTTCGACTACTAAATTATTTTATTCTTTAATTGCTAGACTACTATATTATTATTTCTTTAATTGCTAGACTACTATATTATTTTATTTTTTAATAGCTAGACTACTAGATTATTATTAACCGTGCGATTATTTTAAAAAAACACTCTTGCTGTGACACGTATACCAACACCGCGTTTGATTTCCCGCGCCGTATACGTCGAAATGACCCGAGGACACATCGGGACCGCGATAACGAGGCGGCGGAGCAGCGATCACGAAGCTCGTCGCGGGACCCGCGGCCCGCTGCGCGAGATTACAATCGTTTAAAAATTAGCGAACAATTCGTTCCCGCGTCTCATCAAAGGAGTCGCGTGAAATTTTGTACACCGGCTGTCTCCCGCGGCGAGAAAAAT